TCACTTCGGCTGCCGCTGTCCCCCCCGGGGCGGCTGGACGGGGCCCGAGCAGCTGGCGGGATGGGGCTGCTGCTTGATGAACTCGCTGATTTTGGTTAAGACAAAGAAAATACGATTTCAGAAATGGCTGTGTGCTTTTTTTTCCTGTCAGAAGGTCCTCTACTTTTTTCTCTTGAAAATTTGAGAGGATTTGTGGATTTCTCGTTCATTTGTGCCCTTTTCGCTATGTAATGTTGACTGTGAATGTTACTGAAAAAGATGGTCACTATAGGCTGCTCTATGTCTACTACTAACAATGTTGGAAGTGACTTGATTTCTGAATTGTGTGTATATATATATATTTATGTATGTATATATTTGTATATATCATGAATCTATATCACTTTACATAGCTTGAGCTGTAACAGGTGCCAGTTGCATTGCATTAGGATTAAATACTGCAAAGTATGAATTTGCATGTGTAGTGCTATTCCTTTTTTTTTTTTTTCCTTGACTGTCTTTATATTTTGATTATAGATGACTTTCAAAACTTTTGTCTAGCAAAATTGATTGCAGCAATGTTTTTCTAGATCCATATGCTCAACTTCTTCTTGAGGCTATGAAGCAGTCTGGTTGGTATGTAAACCAATTCATCTTGTTCTGTGTAGTAACGTTAACTGGTCTTTTTCAAATTCTTCCCTATAACTTTGTTTGTTTGGGCCTTTCAGCACTGTCTTCAATGACCGGCACTTTTCTTGTGAAAACTGTGATGGCTGTGTCAGTGGAGGTTTTGATTCTGCCACATCTCAGGTAGGCACTGGACATTGTCCTCTTTCAAAGGACTACAATTTTTTTTTTAGTGTTTTTTACTAGGATTAAAACTACTAATGCTGATATCTGAGTTAAAGTCATGAAAACAAGAGAAATGAAAGATGTTCCAAGGTATAGGAACTAGTACACTGCAGAATGATGAGGCCGTTAATGTTGAAAAACACTGATCTAAAGAGTCTAAATGCTGTAGGTGGTGTATGCTGGGTGTCTGAGAAGTAAGGGAGATGTTGAAACTTGGTGAAAAGACTTATCTATATTTTTTTTCTCTACAGATTGTTCTGTGTCAGAACAACATTCGCCACCAATCCCATATGAACCGAGTGGTCACACATGAATTGATTCATGCTTTTGATCACTGCCGTGCACATGTTGACTGGTTTAAAAATGTTAAACACTTAGCGTGTTCAGAGGTAAGTTAAAATGCTTCTAACGTTGTCATTATATTAATTACTGCTGGTTATTAGGGATGTTTCATGTTTAAATAGGCATGCTGTTACGCAGACTTCATTTGGTTTAATCCTGTTCATACAATTTGTCCTTTCTGTCAAGTCAACCTAAACAGTTTCATTCAGAAAACTAAATTCAGAACTTAGTTTTCACAAATATTAATAAGTCAGCGTCATACTAAGTAGAATGTGATCACTGTGTGACTGTAACAAGAAGTGGTTATTAACAAATGAGAGTAGTTAGAGATGAAAACACATTCATATATTAATCAAATGTTTGTAGGGTTCTTTTTCTCCCCTGCAAATCTTGATATGTTGGGTAGTTATCACAGTAGTATGGTAATGTTATTTTTGTTTAGATTTTTTTTGGTTAACAAAAAAATGTCTTTTCCTATAACACATTTTTTGATTAATTGTGATGTTACTAATAGTACACTTTAGTTATGACTCCATGTCCTTTTCAGAGGACATAGGAATTTGCTGCTTGAAAGGCCTTAAAAATTGATGTATTAGGAGGTGAAATTAAACTGAGCACAGGATAGTAAAGGTTCCTCTTGTGTACACAACTCATGTATTCACATGCTTTTATTTGCTTTCTGAGGTAATCCATATCATTTGACCACAGGAAAACTTGCCCTTGTGATTAATATTATGAAAATACATTCTTGTGACTGTGTGAATTAGGTGGCTTTTTAACTGTTTTTTTTTTTAAATATATAAAATGATATAAAAATGTTATAGTGGCTTTGCTGGGTTTTTTGTTTTGTTGTGGCTTGTTGGTTTGTTTGTTTTTAATGAGAACATATTTGATTCCAGACTTAAGATGTGCACAGGTTTCATCTATAGACAGTATGTGAGAGAACCAAAATGATGAGTTTGGTATAGAATAAATCAGATTTCATAAAAATGAATTTTAATTCATTAATTGAATTCATATTTGCTGTGGAAGACACTCACAGTCGCGTATTATCTTTATCTTTTTAAGATAAAACTTAATGAAATAACCTTGTGTGGCTTCAGTAAAGCCATTCTCTGTAACTTTGGGAGGTTGACCTTGGCTGGCTTCCAGGCACCCACCAAGCCATTCTCTGACTCCCCCTCCTCATAAGATTAAAAAGCTCATGGATCAAGATAAGGACGCAGAGATCACTCACCAGTTACCAACATGGGCAAAATACGCTCGACTTGGGGAATGTTAATTTAATTTATTGCCTATTAATGGCAGAGTAGGGTAGTGAGAAATAAAACTAAAAATACCTTCCCCCCAACCTTCCCTTCTTCCCAGGCTCAACTTCGCTCCTTCATTCCTGACTCTCTATCTCCTGCCCCCCAGAGCAGCACAGGGGGACAGGGAATGGGGGCTGTGGTCAGTTCGTAACACTGTCTCTGCTGCTCCTTCCTCCTCACGCTGTTCCCCTACTCCAGTGTGAGGTCCCTCCCACGGGATACAGTCCTTCATGAACTGCTCCAACATGGATCTTTCCCATAGGTCCTTTTCCACAGCGTACAGTCTTTCAGGAATGGACTGCACCAGCACCACTCCCCCCTGGGTCACAGTTCCTGCCAGAAAACCTGTTCCTGTGTGGGCTCTCCAAGGGCTGCAGCTTCTTTCAGAGCACGTCCATCTGTTTTGGCATGGGGTCTTCCTCGCACTATAGTGTGGCTATCTCCTCCACTGCGTCCCTCCACAGGCTGCAGGGAAACAACCTGTGTCACCATGGTCTTCTCCACAGGTGGCAGGGGAATCTCTGCTCTGGTGCCTGGAGCACCCCCTCCCCCTCCTTCTTCACTGATCTTGGTGTCTGTGGGACTGTTTCTTTCACGTTTTTCTCACTTCTCTCTCTCACAGCTGCCATGTAGTGTTTCTTGTGCTTGCTTAAATGTGTCATCACAGAGGTACTACTAGCACCGCTGATGGGCTCAGCTTTGACCAGTGGCAGGTCTGTTTTAGAGCCAGCTGAAACTGGCTCTGTCTGACATGGGGGCAAGCCCCTTCTCTCTCCGTCTCACAGAAGCCACCCCGGCAGGCCCCTGCTGCCAACATCTTGCCATGTAAACCCAATATGATAATTCAGAATTATTAACTATCATCTACAATTTTTTTGTCTAAGCATTTACATGGTTCAGAATAAAGCATGTAAGCCTCAAACATAAAATTAGAGAACATCTATAAAACGAGATTGTGCTTGTTCTTGCTCTTGTTGAGATTATTTGTTTGCTTCAAGTCTTTTGATGCTTATTTTATTATACAGTGTTTACAATTTTTATTGCCAGCTTTTTAATTCTTTATATTTAATATTTTCCATGCATTTATTCTTACTCTGGTACTTAATTATAGGAAATCTAGTTTTAGTTATATTTCCTAACTGAGGAAGTAGGGTGTGGTACAGTTGGCAGACAAAAGAAATTGCAATATACAGGACAGGACAGTTAACAAGCTAAAATATATATACTCATTTAAATGTGGCTTTTCCTAAAGCAGGTGGGTTACTGCTCTTCTGGATATTGCAGCTGTAGTCTTTGAAAGGTGTCTGCCTTTCTTCCTGACTCTTGTATCAGCTTCTGATATAGACTGGGTAGAACATTACTTTCCATGTTCTTTTAGCAGTTTGTACATATACATATATACGCATACATATACATATGATCTCTTCTGCTCATTCATTTAAGCTTTGGAAATACGTGAGACTTAGTCCCTGGAGAAACTTACAGGTTCTGTAGTAATATTTGCAGTTCATTGAGGCTAAGAGGGTGGCTATAAAGTGTAATATGTACTTAATAAGTAGAAGTGGCCCTGGAAATATTCTCTACCAGCAGTCACCAGAAAGATACTGAAGCAAAAAAATTGCTACGGCTTTTTTGACTTTCTATTTCCATGTTTCTCTGATTGTGTGGCTTTTTTTTTTTTTTTTTCTCAATAGATACGAGCTGCTAATCTCAGTGGAGACTGTACACTGATGAATGAAATAGCTAGGTTTAAATTTGGATTAAAAGGACACCATCAGGTAAAGACTGTAGATATTAAAGTCTACTGATTTGTTATGAACTGTCTTTACCTACTTGAGCTCGGCCTTCATAGCTGAAGACATCAGAGGAAGAAGCAGATGCCATGGACTTGCTGCTTTCTCTTAATTAACCTTTAGTAACCTTTAATGATTCATGAGAAATTTGTTTTCCACCTTCTTATTTTTGTTGGGAGTGAAATTCCTGAATACTTAGTCATATCGTAGAGTGTTACCACTGACAATTGATGGTTAGTAAGAACCAAACAAAAACCAGGATTTGCAGGAAATGTAGTGGGAATACTTTACCCACTAAAAAGTCTTTGAAAACTGTAGGAAGGAGAATGACAAGGGTTCTAAATAACCATGTGTGTTACATCTTACAGGAATTAATTTCTTTTTAATAGTAATGAAGACTATGGGTTGAGTCCCAAGTAGTTGCTCATGTTAAAGTGGCAATTAGCTTGTAGCTGGGGATGTTTACATCTTTTTTTTTTTTTTTTTTATCTTTTAGTAGACAAATTGTGTAAGCAAAAGTTGCCATAAAGAGAGGTATTAAAATGAAGGCCAGTAGAGGAGTCATTCCTTTATGTTTTATAGCATTTGAAATCGAAAAGTACTAACTGGTATTTATGTCTATTTCTTTCTGACATATTTTCTCTTGTGTCCAAGTCAAGTTGTAAAATACTTGATACCTACAACAAATGCCAAATTGTATTTTAATTCCTGTTCTAAGGAATGTCTTTTATTTACCTGATAGTTCATTTGCACATGGAAAACTTAAACACACAGTTAACACAGGGTGGAACAAAAATGTACTTTAATGCTTATTACAGGCATTGTTTGACTCTTCTGTGATGCAAAATTATTGCGTACATAGTAGGAGTTAATACTTGACAAAATCTGGAAAAAATTATTTGTACTAATAATGACAGATTTTTCTTTATCTAATTCCCACTTTAGACTTGTGTACGAGACAGAGCAATTCGCTCCATTCTGGCTGTTAGAAAAGTTAGCAAAGAAACGGCAGAAAAAGCTGTGGATGAAGTTTTTGATGCCTGCTTCAATGATCTGGAACCTTTTGGAAGAATCCCGCACAGCAAAGCAGATGCAAAACGTGCTTATAGAGACTTTCAGAACAGAGATCGCTATAATGCTAATTTGTGAAGGAAAAAAAATTGAAAAATTATGTTAATACCTGATTGTTCTGTAACATCTAGAGTTACAGTCCATGCACACAGTGCTGGTGGAGAGGACAATTCTATCAAATGTATCAATTAATTTTGTAAACTTTTTCCAGGAGCCAACTTCCATGGAAGTAAACAAAGTAAATGAACAAGATTAAAACCCATGTTTCCTCACCTGTTATTCCAGCAAGATAATTTAGTACACCAAATGACTTGTCAAATAATGTTCTGCACATTCCAATGCACATTTAATTCTGCTTAGTCTGACTAGGACTTGGTTTCTAAAAGTTTTGTTGTTACTGAATAAATATTTTCATACAATCTTTAAATTTCCACCATCTTTGATACACAGTCATCACTCCATTCTAGAAGATGGGCACCTGAACTACAGCTCTTGGGTCTAGATTTAATAACTATGGCTAAACCCAAAATTTAGTAAACTGCTACATCTGTTTTTGAGCACCTCCTGAAATTCTTGGAATTCCAGCTCATGTAATGTTAACTTTACAAGTATGTTAAACCCTTTGGCTTTTTAGGAATTTGACTGACAATTCTGCTTACCAGATCAGACCTACAAGCTGGATAAGCATTGGTGAGAGTCTGTCCAGCAGGTTGAGCTTTGCTCAAAATGTTGGTGTGGCTTATGGTCTTTGTCCTATACTTATTAGGTGGGTAAGTCCATCTGAGGAAAGCCAGAAGCTGCTAGCTTCATCCTCAGTCTGAGAGGAGCTGTCTCATTCTTGCGTTATGTCCAAATACAAGGTATTATAATCATTGTCATGGATACAAGAGAGCCACGTTTTCTTCTCTTTCTTGAAATTAAAGGTGCGATTCAACCACTGGTACGGTTCACTGATGTAATGAAGATGTGGGTCCCCAGTCAGAGGTTTGTAGGCAATGCTGCCGTAACAGTTCCTGGATCCAGACTTAAGTGGGAAATTTAGTTCCACAAAAGATAAAATGGTGCCTTGATTGTTACAGTTTCATATGAAGTGCAAAAGCTTTTAAACAGGCTTTTAACTTCATAGGATGTCAAGGTCTGAGGAGTGGTGGTGGTGTCAGTTTTCCTGTGTGAAGTTGTTCACAACTGCAGAAGCATAGAATTGCTGAGGCTGGAAGGGTCCTCTGGAGGCACTACTGTTTCAACCACTGCACAGAGCAGGGTCAATTAAAGCATATTGCTGAGGAGCATGTCTAGTTGGGTTTTTAATATCTCCAAGTGCGGAGGCTCTACAGCCTCTCAGGATAACCTGTTGCAGCATTTGATCACCCTTGCAGGTTTGTTTGGGTTTTTTTCCTCCTTGTGTGTAAAATGGAGTTTCCTGTATTTCACTTTGTGCCAATTTCCTCTTGTCCTTTCCTTGGGCAACACTGAGAAGACTCTGGCTCAGTCTCCTCTACTTCCACCCTTGCCCTATCAGGTATTTATGCACATTGATATGATCTCCCTGAACTTTCTCTTCTCTAGGCTGAAGACTCCCAGATCTTGGTCTCTCTTTCTAGGTCAGATGTTCTGATCCAGTTATCATGTTCATGGCAGTTTGCTGGACTCAGTCTACTATGTCCATGTCTCTCTTGTACTGGGAAGCCCAGAACTGGACTCGGCACTCCAGATGTCTCACCAGTGCTGAGCAGAGTGGAAGATCACCTCCCTCAACCTGCTGGCAATGCTCTTTCTAATGCAGCTCAGGAGGCTGTTGGCCTTGTTTGCTGCAAGGCTGTGGTTCTTGCATACAAATTGGTGTCTACCAGCACTGCCAAGGGTTTTTCTGCAAAGCCGCTTTCCAGCTAGCTGATCAGTCCATGTGGTGTGCTGGTACCTGTGGTTATTCCTCCCCAGGTACAGGAGTTGGTGTATCCCTTTGAACTTGGATCGGGTTCCTCTCTGCCATCCCGAGGCCTGTCTGAACGGCAGCACAAACCTCTGGTGTATCAACCACTCCCCTCAGTGTTGTACTGTCTGTAAACTTGCCGAAGTTGCACTACTCCTATCTTCCAGGTTGTTAATGAAGAGGTTAAACAGTATTGACACTGATACCAATACCTGGGGCACATCACTAATGTCTGGCCTTATTGTGTGTAAGCCCCAGGCATGGTTAAAGAATGAACATGAACTTGGGAATGCCTCAGCTAGATAGATACCTGCACTCCAGAGATTTAAAGTTTCAAAATATCTATGTGAATCGTTCTGTTCACTTACACTAAGTGTCAGAAAACCATTCCAGGCATGTTTAATTTATTGCTGTAGGTGTAATGAGAGGTCAAGTACCTGGAACTTGGGTCCTAAGCACAAGAATCTGCCAATCATGTTTTGTTCACATTGAATTCAGTCAGGCAAAAAAACGTTCTGCTCTGCTACTTGTTGAGTTAAAACTATCTGGAAATAGCAGTAGAATGCCACCTGCTACCTGGACAGGCTTAGACAGCGTGTAAGGTCACCATGCAAACCAAGTTTGAACCCAGAGCTCAGGCTTAATCACTTGGAATAATAGCTGCATATGTACAGGCATTTTATTTGTTCTCTGTTTATTGTAAAATGCAAAAGCAGTCCTGGGAGACCTGCACATCCAGGTCCTGCAGCCCAGGTTCTCACTCACCCGGTCCCAAGAGAGTGTTCTTATCACAGGGCAACAATTTTGTGGTTCTGCTCTTGCTTTCCTTGACTCTGTGCATTTTGCTTTCTTCAGTTCTCTTTCTCAACAAAGTTTGGAAAGAAAGCAAGAGAAACTGGATGAGAGTAGAAGTGATGAGTCCATAAATATATTGGGAGAGGGACTTTAAGTCATGGTACAAGGTTGAACAGTTATAAAAATGGTCATGGTTAATTTAAGTAGGAAATAAGAAGATGGTATATAAGCATCTGAAGAGTAAAGGTATTCTAAATAAGATAGAGAATATGGGATATGCATTGTTTATACTGAGGATGAAAAGTTTAGGGAAAAGGTTAATCCCAGAATGAGAAATATTAAGTTCTTTAGTGTTCCAAAAAGGATGAACAGAAACTAGATTGTTGTGTGTTTGCATTTATTCGCATTTTACTTCTGTTGTATTAATCCTTATTTCAGAATTTCTCCTGGTCATCAGTAAAGTTTGTAAAGGAAAGGGCTATCCTGCCTCTTTCGTCCTCTCCACCCCCAAAGGTGTGTAACTTTGGTTTCCAGTTCTTCACTGCCCTCCCCTACAGCACTGGGGAAGCTGCGGTGATAGGCAGAGTAAGGTTGAGTTAGGACAAGCTGTTGGATTTGAGATCTTAAACCCTTTTAGTGCCACCTTGGTGTATTTTACTCACATGATCAAGGTTAAACTAATCACCAAATTTGAGGTCACAAAGGAAATTTTCCTTGATTAATTTGATAGGGATGACTGGTATTTCTGTTGACCAGCTGGACACTATGTCGTGCTGTTCCGCCACTAATGCACAGCTTTATGTTTGCAGCTTGCTATTACTGCTCTGAACGAAGAGTCCTGCATGACAAGTCCAGTGCTGAGCTGAGTTGTGACAGTGGCAAGGCTGGGTGAGTCTGGTCCTCGGAAATGAGATCTGAAGCAGGCAATTATGCCTGTTTAGTACAAGCTGCCCTGCACACTGGGGTGTTAGTAGGGAGTTAGGCTTCCTGAGCCTGTAGTGACCACTGGGACAGAGTGGCCAGTGAGAAAGGCAGACCTGGAAGGATCAGCCATCTGAATCGCCTGAGAATTTAATGTTAAGTGATTGTCCTTGTTGCAGGGATGAAGCTCATTGGCATGAGCCTGAATGCTTTCTCTTCCCCACCTGTGGCACATTTGTCAGCAATGGGAAAGCTTTTATGACTTGAGTCCTTTATGCCCTGAACTGTTGCTTATGTTCTGATTCTCTCTGGTGGTGGAGGACTGGGCATGATGGTCAGTGTCGCCACCTCCTGTTCTGTGTCCCTGTATATTTTGTGACGACGAGATTGTCAGTGCATGAAGCTTTTTCAGGCAATACATAACTGAGATTTGGCTGCTGTGGGGCAGCAGACTCCCTGGTGAGACTTGAGCAGGAGTGAAGTGCCTGCCAGACTCGTAAGGCTGGAAGGGGAAGGTCCTCCCAAGTACCTCCAGAATTAGGCAGCCTCTGAGGGACTCTTGTCTGACTACAGCTTTGGACTCCTGCAATCCACCCGTTTACTTCACATGCCTACATCCTTTGGATCTGACTGTCATTCTGTAATGTCCTCCTGAGAAGTATTCAGTCATGTAATTAGTCTCCAGTCCAGTGGGCCTGCTTTTAAGGTGTCACTCAAGAACAAGCTGCATGAAGAAGGTCATAGCAAGGACAGCCGCTTCCCCTGTCCCCTGAGCAGAGACAGCAGTGTGTCACCATTTCCTGCACAGCAGCAAACACTTTGAAAAGATTCAAATGTAAGCACTGTCCTCACAAAGGACAAAGCAACACATCCAAACAGCGCCTGAGAGATCTGATCAAGCCTGAGTTGTCTGAGTTGTTCTGTTCATGTTGGACTACAGGTGGATTGCATTTATTCCCAGGTGTAGCATAGTGCATACCCACAGGTATCATTGCTTCTGGGGCTAAGCATTAACGCAGATCCCTTGGAAAGTCATCCTAGTTGTCTTGGAGGAAGTAATGTCTTGGCCAAGATTCCCCAAACCTGCACTTTCAATAGTTTTGCAGAATTTCAAATGGAGATTTCATAATCTTATTTTCTTGGGGTAATTCCATCAGTGACTGACACAACTGCGTGGCTGAATATCCAAACAGAAAAATATGGGTATAATACACTACATACCTATGGAGAAAATTACGGAGAAAATTACACATTGAATTCTAAGCTTCTCATCTTTGATGTAACCTAGATAGACCTTCTGGGTTTTCTAAAATCCCCTGAGGATCAGGGATGCCTTGGAACAGCATAATCTTGTGTGTTAATATTCCCTTAACCTTTACTGCTTTTCAAATCCCCATTTTAGTCAGTATGATTTAAGTTTTTTATAATACTTCTCACACATATTCTGGCAGATAATTCCTTCCCTTCATTACAGCTTATTAACCAAAGTTCTACTTTAATGAGTGTGTGTGTTTGTGTGGTTTGTGTTTATATTGCATTTTAACCGACATATTGTTTGAATATATACAGTTGTATGCTATCTGCATGTCCTGGTTTCAGCTGGGATAGAGTTAATTTTCTTCTTAGTAGCTGGTATAGCGCTGTGGTTTGGATTTAGTACGAGAATAATGTTGATAACACACTGATATTTTAGTTGTTGCTAAGTAG